GTAACTGGTGACAACGTTGTGATAGATTCTCTAAATTAAACCCTCTTTCAAGTTATCTCTTTTTTATTTTATCACCCCTTGTTGCCTAAGAAAAGTAATTTCACCTGAACCATTCTCTAAATTAAATTGTTTTACTCGTTTCTCAACTTTTAATAATATATTATTCTAGCTCATCGACTACTGAAACATTAGTCCCAGTATTTCTGCACCAGCATTTAAATTTTCTATCTTTGCTTTTTCCTTTTAAGACATATTTCAGATATTGGCGAATAAAAGGTTCTTTAATTTCTTAAGGAAAGAACATAAGCACATGTTTCTTTACACCAATACATTTTGTTCCTTACTGGTCTATTAAAATAATTGCGAGAGAAAAACAATACAGACTTACCCTCTTTTTTTTAGACTTTAAAGATATTTATTGCTTTCCACTTTAGCGAAATATAATGACAATTCATATAATTTAAGTGCATAAATAACATATTTTTAATAAATGTAGCCGACTTTTTCTTCGACACTAGCACTCAGTAAATTACATCATGATCCACGTTGAGACTAAATCTAATAACGTATGCGTAATAAGAAAAATATGGAACATATTTATAGAACTGTTCATAAACACAGAAATTTAAAACATGGGAATGATAATCTAAAGGTAAGATGAGGGGCTTAAATCTTATAAAAAACATAAGTGGTTAAAAAAGAGGGAGAGAGAGGAAAACAAAGACTTTTTCATCACACACTTCTTCTTCATGAAAGCACCTGGTGACAATAGAAACATATGCTTGTTTGTTTGTAATTAAGCATAAATCTACACAATGGGCTATCAGTGCTCTGCCCACCACGGGTATCGAAACCCGGATTCTAGCGTTGTAAGTCCGCAGACATACCGCTGTGCCACTGGGGGGCACGAACATATGCTCGCTCTATTACAGTTTATCTCCTTAAAACTATGGAGACAGATCCACTGAAGCGACTAAACAATTATCACTACTTTTTAAAATTCCCTAATCTTCAGCAGTTACATTTATCATGTGATGGGCACTGAGAAAACACGTGAAACTGCAAAGGAGCGTTTCAAAACATTTCCCATAGTTCCTCAAATGAATAAGCAAAGAATAAATAAAGTACTGTAAAGTCTTAAAAGCTAAAGTAGTACGAGATATCAAACATTTTGAAATTATTTAACGTAATAAATATGTTGGAGTTGTGACAATAGAAACATATGCTTGTTTGTTTGTAATTAAGCATAAATCTACACAATGGGCTATCTGTGCTCTGCCCACCACGGGTATCGAAACCCGGACTTTAGCGTTGTAAGTCTGCAGACATACCGCTGTGCCACTGGGGGGCTGTAATCTAATTATTCTTAACATAATTTAAGCATTTACTGTATAATTTCCTAAACTTCAAGACAAGGTTACTACCACTAGTTAAAACTAAATATAAAATTTCCAAATTTAAAATCACATATCTCTTTTATGTAAATGAATGATTAAGTTGAAAACTACTGCTACTTTTATTGTTATTTCTCAGGAAATATTGGGATTCCTTAAACATAGAATCATGGCCAAAATAACTGAAGAAATGTATATTTCAGTTTACGTCGATGGGATTAATCTCACAATTAATCGTTTTTCCAAGTTTGCTCCTACGTTCTTACAAAAGTTGTTTTATTTTTTTTTAAACTGAAACCTCATTCACTGCAACTTACTGCATTCAATTTATTTGTTCGTTTTACTTATTACTGGGTGATGAGGAGGATTCTTTTTGTTTAATTTTGCTTCCAAAAAATTCGCCAGTTTAAATGTATTTACGTTTTTCAAGCTAATTGCACAAATTAGGCACAAACTTTCTCGTTCAATTGTTCATTGTTTGGTTGTTTTATATTAAAATGTTATCATCTTTCAGTGGATCAAATCTAGTTTAATGTTTTAATCTATAGATATATCATCAAGCAATTGTTCATTTTGGTTATTTTATATTAAAATGTTATCATCTTTCAGTGGATCAAACCTAGTTTAATGTTTTAATCTATAGATATATCATCAAGCAATTGTTCATTGTTTGGTTGTTTTATATTAAAATGTTATCATCTTTCAGTGGATCAAACCTAGTTTAATGTTTTAATCTATAGATATATCAACAAGCAATTGTTCATTGTTTGGTTGTTTTATATTAAAATGTTATCATCTTTCAGTGGATCAAACCTAGTTTAATGTTTCAATCTATAGATATATCACCAAACAAACATCTATTACACGAGATTGTGAAAGATAATCCTTATATATAATAATGCTTTCTAATCTTTTTTCGTGTATTTTCAGGTTCCACTCGATGAAGGGTTGTGTCAGAGCTCATTAATAAAATACACTACCGAGAAGTTGATACAAACCAAGTTACTCACCTTCTGGCTAAACAAATATACCGCAGTAAAAGCTCAATTTGGCCTTTTATTATATGACTATAGGCCCTATATATTTGATTGTTTGCTGCTTAGAAGTATCAGCTGACTTATTATAATTGTGGTACTTTATATAGGACGTGGCACTGAAATAAAAATCTAAGTGATGAAAGACAATGTAGATTAGAATTTTATACATGGAGCATTACTTCATAATTTCTAACCAATCTACAAAAAACTCTCCAAAAGTTCTTTCCAGAAATAACTTCTGAAGTACCTTTAACTATTTAGATGAAGCACATTTTGCTGGAACAAATACAAATGTCATTTTAAAAAGCTAATGATTTATTTCAACTGACTCTGGATGATTGACTTTATACAGTTTAACGGTGTGAAATGTGTTACGATCCGCTGCACATTTTGATCACGTGTGCATTATTGTTATATTTTAAAATATACAAATAAAACGCTAGTTTCACCGGGAGATACACATACATCGTTAACATTACACTCATTAATGAAGTTGGTTGAATTGAGAAAGATGAAAGTAGAAAAAAACTTCTGTTTTAGTGAATTCACAGCCAATCAATGGGAATTACATGCTCATACTTAATGAAATAAAATCTGTTGGTTACAGCAACGATCTTTGTTGTTAGGTTTATGAAGTAGGATATACGTTAAGAGAATTCAAATATGGCGACCTACTTATTTGATCAAGTGCGAAGAAATTCTGTTTCTGAAATTCTGTGTTTTATGTTGGTTTATCCTGTGATGGCTCTAACAGTCTCTTTGTTTAAATGCCCAGACTCTTGTGCTTGTGACGACAATGGCCAATTTGTGAGTTGTATCGGGGATGGCTTATGGCACATTCCTTCTGATATACCTAACGTAGTGAAAAGACTTGAACTTCGGAACTATATCATACTAACTTTGTCTGCCAAGGCCATAGAAAATCTTACAGAACTACAGGAGCTTAAAATTCAACAATCTGAAATACAATTTATCGAAAATGGAACATTTACTAATTTGAAAAAACTCCGTCAGCTAGATGTAAGTCTAAATCTTTTACAGAATATAGATTACAACACTTTTTTTGGATTGGGCGATCTGACATATTTAGACCTATCTTCCAACAGATTAACTAATATTGAAGGGGCTTTCCAACATTTGAGGCTTGTGGAACAGTTGAATCTTAGAGCCAACAAATTAACCACAATTACATCAGAAAGTCTTACTGGGCTTCAAAACGTTCAGTATCTTAACATGGATTCAAATAATATCTCTGTGATCGAGGTAGGAGCCTTCCAGCTTCTCAACAGTCTTGCCCATCTGATACTTAGCAACAATCCTATAACCAGTTTATCACGTTTGGATATTTTTGGTTCCAGACTCCAATACATTGACGTCTCAAACATTGGACTCAAGCGTGTACCATCAAGTCTAACCAGATTTGTACGAGATCTCAGAATGGCAAAGAATAATCTCACACACATTGGTACTGGAGACTTTGATAGCTATTCCTACCTTAGTTTACTTATTCTTGACGACAATAATATTACAAAGATAGAAAATGATGCTTTCGGACGACTAGAATACTTGGCACGTCTTTGGTTAAATGGTAATGCACTAGAAGGAATACCTAGTAACTTGCCTTCGAGTCTTCGGGCTTTGTACATTGAAGAGAATTACATAAAGATGATATCTGCGTATAGCTTTCGTGGACTGAGCCTCCTAGAACGACTTTTTCTCCAAAGAAACGTTATTGAGAAATTGGAAGAATGTGCTTTCTGTGATCTGATCCAACTGAAAATCCTGGACTTACAAGCTAACAATATTCAAAATCTGTCAGTGGGAATTTTCGCAAATTTATCAAACCTAGAAAGCTTAGATATTTCGCAGAATAAATTGAAATATTTGGGTTCTCACTGTTTCGAAGAGCTGGTCAGTTTGAAAATTCTCCAGACTTCTCGTATTTCTACTTTTATTGTTTTCGGTGAATCAGTATTCGACACATTGAAGAGACTTGAAATCCTCGAAATGTATGACAGTCCTCAATTTGCAACCAGAATTTTAAACTCCACCCGAGGATTACATGGTCTGCGAAACCTGAAGGAACTCAATATCATGCATAACGGGATAATTAGCCTACGCCAAGATCTACCTTCTTTTTTTCCCATCATGAAAGTTCTTAAGATGAGTGGAAACAGGTTGCACTGTAACCAAAATATCCTATGGTTGACCGAATGGATGAAAACAAAGACCATTCAATTTTATCACAGGTATGATATCAGATGCGCTTCCCCCACCAAACTTGAAAACAAGCCTATCATGATGTTAACTGAAAAGGACTTTATTATCACTAGCCCCCCTCCCGAAATAATAACAGTTACTGAAAGGCCGGAAAGCACAGCTATCACAAATCCTTCTGTGGTGAAAATATATTCATACGGGTTTTTATCTCCGATCAACTTTGATCCTACTTTGACCAATTCAACAGAGGCGCCAACAGAAGATTTATTTTATGAAAAGAGCGTAATTGCTTTGTTTGAAAACAGGACAAATTCAACAGAGTTTGCGATGTATCGCCAGATATATAGCGAAGAAATGCAAAACAAAGCAGTCAATGATGATAATAAAGACAGAATACAAAATGATTTAAAACATAAATCTTCTGAATCTGAAAGTTCAAGTAGTAAATACGTAAAGAAACCCTTGTCTATAAGTGTTAGTTCTTCGCATAAAAGAGAACAGAATGATGAATATACAACGCATTCCCCTGATCCAACAAAGTCAAATTTAACATATCCTTCCTTCAAGTCCTCTGTCCACGGCGGCTCTAATGCAAATCAAAATGGTATATTAACTTTCTCAGAAAACTATGAAAAATTCGCTCGAACAGTAGACGTAGCTCCAACAATAAAAGTATATCACAGAAGCTTCTCGACATCAAACAAATCTAATCTATCATCAGCAGTAAATACTGATGATGAAAAATATCACCAGGATCAAACCAGTGCAACAGTGTTATCATCCATTCTAGCTGGAGGTTGTCTGCTAGCGATGACTGGGCTTTTAATTTTCGTAGTCATATTGAAGTATCAAAAACGACCGGCTACCACTGCTTGTAATGTTCGCAGAAGCAGTAGCATATCATACTGTCCACAGCGAGACGAGGTAGCGATTCTAACAGTGTCCGAAGGTACAGTGGGTCTCAAAACGGACACGCACTATGGCCTCGGAAACAGACTTTATTACCTAATGGAGAACGGCGAACGTAATGGCGAACCGAATAAGGATTCAACACCCGATCCGCAACTTCAAGAACTACTGTCTGAAACAAGTGAACATGTCTCATGAGTTTCTATATGAACTGTGTTATCGCATCATTTCAAGGAAGAAATATAAAACGGAATGCAAGTGAAGAGAATGTTAAATGTTGTGTTGTAAAGTGTCTCATTCTTTAAAGAAATAACAAACTGATTAGTTAATGGAGAACGTAATATACATACTGATTAGTTAATGGAGAACGTAATATACATACTGATTAGTTAATGGAATAACGTGCTGATTAGTTAATGGAGAACGTAATATACATACTGATTAGTTAATGGAATAACATACTGATTAGTTAATGGAATAACGTGCTGATTAGTTAATGGAGAACGTGATATACATACTGATTAGTTAATGGAGAACGTAATATACATACTGATTAGTTAATGGAATAACATGCTGATTAGTTAATGGAGAACGTAATATACATACTGATTAGTTAATGGAGAACGTAATATACATACTGATTAGTTAATGGAATAACATGCTGATTAGTTAATTGAGAACGTAATATACATACTGATTAGTTAATTGAGAACGTAATATACATACTGATTAGTTAATTGAGAACGTAATATACATACTGATTAGTTAATGGAATAACATACTGATTAGTTAATGGAATAACATGCTGATTAGTTAATGGATAACGTAATATACATACTGATTAGTTAATGGAATAACATGCTGATTAGTTAATGGAGAACGTAATATACATACTGATTAGTTAATGGAGAACGTAATATACATGCTGATTAGTTAATGGAATAACATGCTGATTAGTTAATGGAATAACATGCTGATTAGTTAATGGATAACGTAACATACATACTGATTAGTTAATGGAATAACATACTTAGTTAATGGAGAACGTAACATACATACTGATTAGTTAATGGAATAACATACTGATTAGTTAATGGAATAACATACTGATTAGTTAATGGAATAACATGCTGATTAGTTAATGGAATAACATGCTGATTAGTTAATGGAATAACATACCGATTAGTTAATGGAATAACATACTTAGTTAATGGAATAACATGCTGATTAGTTAATGGAGAACGTAATATACATACTGATTAGTTAATGGAGAACGTGATATACACACTGATTAGTTAATGGAATAACATACCGATTAGTTAATGGAGAACGTAATATTATGGAACTTGTGAACTCTAAAAATATTTTGTGAGCATTATATTAAAATTATGAAATGATTTACATAGCTTTCAGGTATTTAGCTTGTTTTCCTTGACTTTATAACGTGGATATCATCCATTATAAAGCTTAAAACACGTTGTCTTACCAATCTAAGGGGCCTTCTTATATTATTTATTTTGTAAGATTTTTATCTCAATAAAATAAATCTAGTAGCATTTAGCAAAAACGTATAATTAAGGTATTTTTGTAACAACAAAATGGAAACCTTTGGGCCATTGAAAATCATCTTAAGTTCTGTGTGAGATTTAATAAGCCGTCAGGTATCACCTTTTTTTACTGAAGCTTGACATATTGCAAAACCTCCAGAAGTAAAAATTAATGAGTACTTGTTTGAAAACTTCGTTTTACAATAAATTTTACAGATCACGATCAAAACGATTTCTTAGAATCATTTAACATTTATGTTCTCAATAAACATCTTTCCAGCATTAATTTATTCCTATAATACAATATTTTTGAGTATTTTGAATAACACGTAATAATAAATATGATATAACTTTCAGGAATATCATAAAATGATATAATAACTGCTTTTGTGCGTATTTTCCATTTCAAGAATGATTATTAATTTAACTAATATTTTGTATGTAAGTTGAGAAACGGTTATTCTCAGTAGAATTGGCTTGTAATTATCAAGCAAGTAATACTTAAAATATGTTTCTCAAACTTGTGTTAAATAACAGATTGCTATGTCTATGTTAATATTATATCATAGACAGTTGGTGATTGCTAATGTTGTTTCAACTTTTCACGTATAAAATGTTTCTTTAGCTCTTAAATAAGCAAAAACGTTCTACAATAACCTCTGTTTTTGCTAACGTGGTGACATAGCTAAGTATATGTTTGTATATAATATATCTTTTTCCTCTGCTTTCCACCTTCTTTATTTTATTTGTTTGTTCACTAACCATGTGGAAATGATAGCGAAATAGACTAAAGCCAATTAGATTTCTCTGTATCTTGCATAAATGTTTTATTCAAGTCAGACAGAGAAAGACACTTATTGATTACAGCTACCAGTTCCACATAGGTTCTCAGTTTACTGAATGTTATTTGTACTCCCACGAGTCTGAAGTGTTCTGTTGTGCAATTACGTCAGATTGGAACAGTAAAACTACACTTGTATAATGTTGTAAAGATATGATATTTACTTGAACTTAAAAACGTTAATAAATATATTGTCTTTGATAACGATTATTTTGAACTTATGGCGTATGTAATTTATTTATACGCTATCCACTAATACAAAAAAATGAACGAGCTTACAGATAGAAGACAAGTGGTAGCACCGAGTTTTGCTCATTTACTCTTGAGTTCGTCTTCACAACTGTCAGATTCTCATAAATCCTGAACTGTTCTACATCCTCAGTTGCTCTTCATCCTCAACTCGTCTATCGCAAAGTTGTTACCGGCGACAACAGTATTATAGTTGTAGTTGAAATATATCGTTCAGTACTTGTTTGATTCTCCTCAACCCTCAACTCATCTATCACAAAGTTGTTACCAGTGACAACAGTATTATAGTTGTAGTTGAAACATATCGTTCAATACTTGATGGATTCTCCTCAACCCTCAACTCATCTATCACAAAGTTGTTGCCGGTGACAACAGTATTATAGTTGTAGTTAAAACATATCGTTCAGTACTTGATGGACTCTCCTCAACCCTCAATACATCTATCACAAAGTTTTTACCAGTGACAACAGTATTATAGTTGTAGTTGAGACATATCGCTCAGTACTTGTTGGATTCTGATCAACCCTCAACTCGTGGTTCAGGTGAAATTACTTTTCTTAGGCAACAAGGGGTGATAAAATAAAAAAAGAGATAACTTGAAAGAGGGTTTAATTTAGAGAATGGTTCAGGTGAAATTACTTTTCTTAGGCAACAAGGGATGATAAAATAAAAAAGAGATAACTTGAAAGAGGGTTTAATTTAGAGAATGGTTCAGGTGAAATTACGTTTCTTAGGCAACAAGGGATGGTAAAATAAAAAAGAGATAACTTGAAAGAGGGTTTAATTTAGAGAATGGTTCATGTGAAATTACTTTTCTTAGACAACAAGGGGTGATAAAATAAAAAAATAGATAACTTGAAAGAGGGTTTAATTTAGAAAATGGTTCATGTGAAATTACTTTTCTTAGGCAACAAGGGGTGATAAAATAAAAAAAGAGTTAAATTATCTAATTACTTTGTTACTCTTCGATTTTTATTAATGGTATCTATTACTCGAAGAAGGTATTGTTTTCGGTTTCTTTATGTTTAGCGCAAAGCTACGCAATGGACTATATAATCTGTGTGCATCGCGAGAACAGAAAAAAAAAACTCTTGTTATATTTCTAAATTTGTAAAAGCAATGTTTCAAAAACCGTTTGGTCATCAATATAAAGATTTAAAGATTACTTATTAATATCTTCAGTATTGTTATAAACAATATATTGGACTTCGAAATAATCTTTAAGTGTGTTTACGTAGTTATTTTATCTTTAGTACACTATCCTTTAATTTCATAATGTCTATTTCTCATTTAATATGACCCACCGGTTGGTCAGTGACAAGTTTGCGGATTACAACACTAAAATCGTGGGTTCGATTCCCTGCAGTGGACAGAGCGCTGTAGCCCATTGCTTAGCTTCGTGCTTTACAACTAAACAAACAAAAGTTCTCTTCGGCCCATTCTGCTACTATGGACTTAGTACACATCTCTGATACGTATTATATCAGATTATGTCTTTTAAACAGCCCTCTAATAAGCTTTAGGGCGTATAACATTAAAATTTGAGGTTCGGTCCCTGCAGTGGATACAGCTTAAATAGCCCATTGTGCAGTCCTGTATTTAACAATCAACAAACAAGTATTTCAGATGATATGTTTCTCCTTCATCTGTTTTAATTTATTTTCAAAACCCTCTTTCAAGTTATCTCTTTTTTTTATATCGTCCCTAGTTGCGTAAGAAAAGTAATTTCACCAGAACCATTCGCTAAATTAAACCCTCTTTCAAGTTATAGGTATTAACTGTCAGTCTTTTTCCGTTTTTATCAATCTAGCCTTAGAGTGAAACATAAGTTTTACTTATTATTTTCTGAAGCTCCATCCTTTTACTTTCTAATTAATTTACAATATTAATAAAAATCGAAGAGTAACAAAGTAAATAGATAATTTAACATTGTAAATTAATTAGAAAGTAAAAGGATGGAGCTTCAGAAAATAATAAGTAAAACTTATGTTTCACTCTAAGGCTAGATTGATAAAAACGGAAAAAGACTGACAGTTAATACCATTAATAAAAATCGAAGAGTAACAAAGTAAATAGATAATTTAACATTGTAAATTAATTAGAAAGTAAAAGGATGGAGCTTCAGAAAATAATAAGTAAAACTTATGTTTCACTCTAAGGCTAGATTGATAAAAACGGAAAAAGACTGACAGTTAATACCATTAATAAAAATCG